CTCTTATGATGCTGCTTGGCCTGCTGTGTTCATCCAGCCCTGCACCTTGTTGTCTCGGATTCACCAGCATCTGCAGTTCCTACTATCCCTTACCAGGATACTACCTGTTTTAGAGGGTATGAACTATAAGGACAGGCTGGACAAACTCGGATTGTTTTCTCTGGAGCAGCAGAGGCTGAGGAGAGACCTAATGGAAGTCTTATAAAATTATGAGAGGCATAGATAGGGTTGACGGTCGAAATCTTTTCCCAAAGTTGAAATGCCTAATATTAGAGGGCATGCATTAAAGGTGAGGGGGGGAAATTCAAAGGAGATGTGAAGACCAAGTTTTTCTCACAGAGCGTGGTAGCTGCCTGGGTTACGCTGCTAAGGGTTGTGGTGGAGGCAGAAACGACAGGCGTTTTTAAAGGACTTTTAGATAGGCACATGAATGAGCAAGGAGTGGAGCGATAAGGACAGGCAGAAGAGATTAGCTTAATTTGGCTTCATGTTTGGTACAACATTGTGGGCTGAAGGACCTGTTCCGTGTTCAAATATTACAGTACAGAAGATGGCCTTTCGATCCATTTCTCTGCATTGAAATTCATCTGCCAGGTGTCTGTCCATTTGGCCAACTTGTCAATGTCTCACTAAAGTTGCTCAGCATCATCCTCACAATTCACTATTATCCTAGTTTCAGCTTCAAATTTAGAGGTGTTGTCCTCAACACCCATCTCTAAATTGTTTATATAAATCAGGAATCACTGATCCATGTGGAACACCACTTTGAGCTCATCTCCAATCTGTGAAGTACAAATTTATACCTACCCTCTGTTTCCTATCTTTTACCCAACTTCTAAAGAACCCATCAATCCCAAGCATTCTCTATTTGCTAACATGACTGCCATGTGGAGCATATCAAATGCTTTCTGAAAGTCCAAATATACAACAACTACAGCACTATCCTCATCGTGAAAAAATCTCGACTAAGTTTGCCAGAACGACCTGCCCTTGACAAAGCCATATTGACTGTCTAGTGTTAACTTCTTTTTCTCTAAGGGTATATTTACCTTATCCCATGCTATGGCCTCTATCAGTTGTCCATAAGCTGGCAGGTCGGTAGTTTCTGCAGAAATGGGGGAGGGGAAGGGGACTTTGAAAGAAATAGAGAGACGGGGAGGTGATGATGGAAGGTGGATAAAGGAGCAGATAGGTGGAGAGAAGACGGACAAGTCAAGGAGGCGGGGATGGAGCCAGTAAAAGTGAGTGTAGGTGGGGAGTTAGGATGGGGGTTGGTCAGTCAAGGGAAGACGGACAGGTCAAGGAGGCAGGGATGAGGCTGGTAGGTAGGAGGTGGAGGTGGTGGTTGAGGTGGGAGGAGCGGATAGGTGGGAGAAAAGACGGACAGGCCAGGGCGGTGGGGATGGAGCTAGTAAAGGTGAGTGTAGGTGGGGAGTACGGATGGGGGTAGGTCAGTCAAGGGAAGACAGACAGGTCAAGGAGGCGGGAATGAGGCTGGTAGGTTGGTAGGCGCACTGACCTCTACGTCGCCAAGGCCAGGTGCCAGCTCTCTGAAACTTCCTCCTACCGCCTCCTTGATCATGACCCCACCTCCGACCACCAAAACATCATCTCCCAGACCATCCACAACCTCATCACTTCAGGTGACCTCCCACCCACAGCCTCCAACCTCATCGTTCCCAAACCCAGCACTGCCCATTTCTATCTCCTTCCCAAACCACAAACCTGACTGCCCTGGTCGACCCATTGTCTCCACCTGCTCCTGCCCCACCAAACTTATCTTCACTCATCTCGACTCCATTTTCTCCCCTCTGGTCCAGGAACTCCCCACCTACGTCCGTGACACCACCCACGCCCTCCACCTTCTCCAAAACTTCCGATTCCCTGGTCCCCAACACCTCATCTTCACCATAGGGACATCCAGTCCCTACATTCTTGCCTTCCCCGTGCAGATGGCTGAAAGGCCCTCCGCTTCTTCCTGTCCCACAGGCCTGACCAGTCCCCCTCCACTGATACCCTTGTCTGCTTAGCTGAACTCGTTCTCACCCTTAACAACTTCTCCTTCAATTCCTCCCACTTCCTACAGGCAAAGGGGGTGGCCATGGGTACCCATATGGGCCCAAGCTATGCCTCCCTCTGTGTAGGAAACATGGAGTAATCCCTCTTCCGAAGCTACATTGGCCCTATCCCCCACCTCCTCCTCCGTTATATCAATGACTGTTATAACCATCCTGTTTCTCAAACTTCAATAACTCCCAACAAGGGAATCTTGACTTCATTCATTTGAGTCCAGGATGTAGGGTGATGAACCAGTGCAATGCGGACAGAGCATAGTGTTGGAGGAGCAGTCTTTCAGATGAAACTTAAACACTGTCAACTCTGTCACCTGAATGAAAAATCACATGGCATTATTTTGATGAACAGGGAAATGTACCTGCACCTCACAAATGCTTAGTTGGTTTAAAAGCAATTTGGTACTGTAAGTGTATTGAGATGGATAGAAAACTGCTTGGCATAGAGGAAACAAATAGTAAGAATTAATGAGTCCTTGTCAAATTGGCAGGCAGTAACTAGTGAGGTGCCACAGGGATTGGTGCTGGGACCCCAGTTATTCACAATATATATTAATGATTTGGATGAGGGAACAAAATGTAACATCTCAAAGTTTGCAGATGATACCAAGTTGGGTGGGAGGGTGAACTATGATGAGGATGACCCAGATCTTTCAGCATGATTTGGACAGGTTGAGTGAGTGGGCATATCAATGGCAGATGCAGTACAATTTGGATAAATATGAGGTTATTCACTTCAGAAGCAAAAACAAGAAGGCAGATTACTACCTGAATGGCTGTAAATTGGTCTGGAGGTCTGGAGGTCTGGAGGTCTGGAGGTCTGGAGGTCTGG